ATGTCTGTAATACGCCTGGACATCTGATAGGCTGTAGAGGAAGATGGCGCTGTGTGTCAGCAGGAGGCTGAGATGACGTCTCTGTGTGGCTTCTTGGGCCACTGCATTGCAGATGGTCTCTTCTCAACAGCAGGAAACCTGCCCCGCGGGCAAACTATAGCCACCATTTAGAAGATTCAATGCAGGAAACCCACAGCCTAGAGGGGCCTGGAAGAGCTGAGATCATGGGATCCTGAGAACCCCAGCAGCAGACCACTGCATCCTTCTAGGACACAGGGACGCTGAGACAATCTCTGGGCCCCAGACTCTTGGGCTGCATTGGTGTGAGTCATATTCTTTGGCTTCTTGAGCTGTGCAGTCCCAGTCTCCTTGTCTCACTCCCGAGTATCCAAGAAGCCCCCTTGAGGTCAGGTGCTGTCCAGGTTGCCCCTGGGTCACCCGCTGGGGCTTCTTTTGCTTTGTATGGATAGAAATGGTGGATGGCAAGAAACTTCCGGAGCTGATCCATGGGCAGCTTCTGCATTTCTCAGCTGCAGATTGCAGTGAGTGGCAGCAGCTGGGACCAGGAGCGAGTGGCACTGTGCAGAGTTATAGCTCTGATGCTGGCCTTGGCTACCGGGACCCTTAGTGATGTATGACAGCTCTGTGTAGGCCCAGAAAGACGGGATTCTCCATCTGTTGACAGCGGGGGAATGTCAGAGTTCCAGCCCGGGGGCCTGAGACCCTTGGCCTTTAAAGCCTGCCTGTTCTCAGAACTCACACCCGGTGTCTTCAGCTTGCCTTCTCTGGTCTTACAGCTTCCTGTTCTTCAACCTGAGCTCTCCACCGCCCCATCTCTTTCCTTCTGCTGCTTGTTTACATGACCACTGTCACAGCGGCCCCTGGGGCCACAGCAGCCCTGCTGCTTTTGCTTTGGCCCCTGTCGTCATCACCAACGTCGTGAGGGTGGCTGTTGTCCCCAGCTCCCACCTCTCCTGCCTCTCCACTGCTGCTCAGCTGCTGTGGCTCTTCAGCCATTGTCTGGCAGCTGTCACAGTGCTGGCCCTTCCTTTTCCCACCAGCTCATCTGTCTACTCTACTGGTGGTGGGTGATGAAGGCAGGAACGCAGCACCCACGTAGCCTTCTGTTTATTTATTTGTGTGTGTGTGTGTGTGTGTGTGTGTGTGTGTGTGTGTGTGTGTCTGTGAGTGTGTCTGTCTGTGTGTGTGTGTGTCTGTGAGTGTGTGTCTGTGAGTGTGTGTGTGTGTCTGTGTGTCTGTGAGTGTGTGTGTATCTGTGAGTGAGTGTGTGTGTCTTTGCATGTGTAGTGGGGCAGAGGACAGCCTTGGGTGTCATGTCTTAGGTGCCCTCCCTCTTTGGTCTGAGACAAAGCCTCTCACAGGCCTGGAACTTTGCTAAGCAGACTAGGTTAGCTGATCAGTGATCTCCAGGGCTCCTCCCCCCCCCCCACCTCTCATTTTTACCATCTGGGATTATGGGGATTACAGGTGATTGTCACTGCCACTGTGCCTCGCTTTTACATGGGTTCTGTGAACTCACCTCAGGTCTTCATATCTATGAGGCAAGTACTTTGCCAAATGAGACATCTCGCCATCTCTCTCCTTGCCTTTCTCATTTTTTATTACATTATATTTAGCATGGAGGCTGTGTGCATACGCCATGGCACACCTGTGGAGGTCAGAGGACTTTCAGCAGCTAGTTCTTACCTGCCATGTGCCTCCCATGGATCAAACTCTGCTTGCCAGGTTTGATGTCAAATGCCTTCATCCACTGAGTCATCCTGTCAACCCCCTCAAGAAGTCTTTTTTCCCCCCAGAGAGGGTTTCTCTGTGTAGTTTTGGTGCCTGTCCTGGACTCGCTCTGTAGACCATGCTGGCCTCGAACTCACAGAGATCCACCTGGCTCTGCCTCCCAAGGGCTAGGATTAAAGTCGTGCGCCACCACCGCCCGGCTCAAGAAGCCTTTTATTGGACTTAATGCTGAGACATAAGACAGCAGGCCCAGCAGGACGGCACAGTAAGAGAGCTCAACAATCGGCCAATATATCTAGAGAAGGGGCGTTGTGCCCGTCACGGCAAACATTCATGCACATGGAAGGTTGTATTTGTCCTAGGCAGGGCGCTGTCCCTCTGTACCAGTCACAACTCTCCCCATCGTAGGCCGCCGGGAATGCTGCTCTACCTCTGGCTGGGGTGGACGTAGTTGGAGGAAAGTCTGGCGTCCACTGTTTTCAAACAGGCACAGCTGGGGCCTCGACTTTGGGAGCCAGTGTTCTTTAGCAACAAGCAGCTGTGGTTGCTGAGCGGCTTCCTCAAGACATCTGTGGCTGGCACAAGGGAAGTCGGGCTGGCTGCTTGACAGTCCTTTGTTCAAGGCAGCCAGCATTCCAGGGGGGCCTAACAGCTGTCAGTTAGGGAGTCACATCACCACCCCTGACATTTTCACGGGAAAATTGACACCAGAAAGAATGCTTATATTAGTAATCTACCACTGACATTAGTAGTGGTTCACACAATATTGAATAGTTTTGACACCTGTCAAGCATCCCCTCATCAGTCTCAGTGTCTCAGATGCCATACCTGATACAGCTTAGAAGATCTGAGTTTGGAGTTGGTGAAGCCTCAGAGTGACCAGGGGACTGTGTTGATCCATGCAAAAGACAGATCTATGGTGGTCTATAGCAGGAGGACACTCGGGTCCACTCCAGTCAGTGTGGGGTCCACAGAACTGGTAAGGCTCTCGTGTCCCCACCTACGGTGTTTTTTTCCCCTTGGGTCAGGAGTGGACCATGAAGGCCACCATCCAAGACAGAAATCGAGACCCACCGGGAATCTGTGCCATCAGACCCACACAGCACTCTGAATCTCCTTCCTGCTCTGGAAGCTGCAATGCTGGTTCCTTTATCGACCTTAAATGGTGGAGTTAGTGGGGGGGCGGGTAAAACTGTCTATACCTTTCTAGTGTTCCTGCCTTCACCGTGTGTGCAAGGGAGAGCATTGAGACGTTGCCTATCTGTGACCTGCTGGGTCTTAACACAAGCCTCCATTACACTGACGTCACTAAGCAGTGAATACAAGCACATCTTGGTTCCCTCATTTGTCCTGGAGTGTTTTGGCTCATGGGTATTTGGCAGCCATGGAGGGCTTTCAGGGATCCAGAACACTTGTACTTTCAAGTTCTGGCAGTAGACACTGTCTGTCACCAGGAGAAGGTCAATACAGATGGGATGCTAGAGACATGTACTCAGAGGCTGGGACCCACCTCTTGGTCCCTGGCCTGACAGGCGCTGGCCCTGTACCTTCCTACCTGGAAGGGCAGGGGCTGCTCAGCTGAGTTTCCTACAGGGCAATGACTAGGTAAAGTCACCACCTTGTATTCTGTCTCCCAAGGTCAATGAGAACATGTGGAGAGCCCCCTTGGCCTTAGGGCCACAGAGACCATTGGGAGGGCACTGCATCCCCTCCTGGTTGCTGGCTCAGTCTGAGGTTCTGGGACAGACAGGCAAGCTGGGAGCCTCCACGGTCCAAGTTAAGCGGACATGGCTGCTCTTTCAGAGAGTAGGAGGGCTTCAGGGCAGAGGCCACACAGTGAATGCCACCTAAAGCTAGCTTGGTGATCGAAGTTCTTACCCATTTGTGCTGAAGACACCAGACATAGACAATAAGAATGGTCTGGGGCATGGGAATCGCAGGACTGAAAGGGTCAGATCAGGTGAGAGCAGGCAGGGGCTGAGGGCAGCGGGGGGGCTGAGGGCAGCCGGGGTCTGAGGGCAGCCGGGGTCTGAGGGCAGCTGGGGGCTGAGGGCAGCGGGGGGGCTGAGGGCAGCCGGGGGCTGAGGGCAGCTGGGGGCTGAGGGCAGCGGGGGGCTGAGGGCAGCCAGACGGAGCCCCTCTGGGCATTGTGGTGACTCTGGCCTGGTCCCCTCTCTCAGAGCTTCTGCCAGTTCTACTAATCTGCAAGGACAAGCAGAAACCACCAGGAACTGTCAAGAGAGGGCCAGGTGCTTCATGAGACAGTGTGGTTCAGTGCCATGTGATGGTGAGCTCTTTTGGACAGTGGGGCCTTGCTGCAGTGATTAAGAATCTCGAATGAGATCATCAAGAATTAGAGTGGCCTAAATCCACCAACAAGGGTCCTTGTCACAGGCAGTCAGAGGGGCATCTGGGGCTGAGAAGAGACTGGATGAAGACAGGCAGAACTTGGGTAAGGAAGCCACAGGCAGAGAGGCATGGGGAACTGTCCATCATCCAGGAGTCTACCCAGAGCCTAGGGCAGTGTGGCTCTGGCCTCGTCTTCACACTCAGTCTCCATGGCTGAGGGGAACAGAAATGAGGTGCTAAAGACCTGGTTGGAGGTGGTTGGTTACAGCAGCCCAGGCAGCTCCTGCCAGAGCTCCAAGGAAGAGAAGGCCAGGAAGGGGAGGGCATGGAGAGCGTATCTAGAAGGACACCTCAGGAACCAGGCTGAGTCAAAAAGCTGGGCCCTACAGGGCACCCAGGGGCAAAGTTTCCAACAGAAGAGCAGGTCCAGGGCTCACAGGGCTGAGGTGGCGCACACAGGGCGGAGTGGGTCTGGAATCCTCCTCTCTCCCGCTTGTGTCCTCCCCAATAACTGCTGGGTGGCCCCCGAAGCTATCCAGAGTCAGACAACAGATCAAAGGCGATTATGAGGAAGATTGGGGAGAAATGTGTGACTCTTCTGATTCTCTCCACACGAACCTCAGACTGTGGAGGCTTGCCACGTGGTGGCCTTTCCTCTGAGTTCCCAATTCTCCCTCAGCTTCTTCAGACTCCAGTGGCTGACGCTTTGGAATGTCCTGTGGCCTGTTGATCTCTTGAAGTCTTAACAAGCTGTTATACAAAACACTGACATTTCCCTTGCCAGCTGGCTGTGGACATAACTCAGAAGGAGCAGGTCCTTTGTGCCAAGTTCCCCAAGGACCCTGCATGGGGCTGTATAAAGGGCAGTCGAGTGAGGGGCCGGGTCAGCCTGTCCATCTCCAGTGACCTGTTGGTTGGCTGTGAATGCAGACCCTGGAGATGAAGACTCTGTTCCTGGCCATCAGCTTCTGCCTGGCTGCTGCCCTGCAGGTCCAGGACTTATCGCCTCTTACTCTGAATAGCCGGCATGTGAGTCAGGGCTGGGGCACAGGGTGGCGTCTCAGCCTTTACTAGTGCAGGATGACTAGGGTTCTGAATTCAGGGAGGATCCCCAGTCTGACCCTTGTGACAGGTTGTAAGCAAAGAGAGTAGGCCAATTTGGAGTTAAGGGATCCCCAACACATGTTCAGGCCTCCAGGTCTCAGGGGTGGAGACTGAGAAAATGTGCTAGAAGGAGGCTCTGGTACCCTAGGAGTAGGCAGGTCTCCATCATGTGAGCTTTCTACGTTTTGGTGGTGGGATGGGAGAGTCGGATATAAGAGGCAGTTGGAGGCCACATGTTCCTCAGGAGGGTGGGCAGGCATCAGGCAAAGAGGATATTCATCTTTTAGTTTTCTGGAAAGTGGTTCATGAAGGCCTTGGTGATGAAAAACGGGATCCCGATAAAGAAGGTTTCTCCTATATTTGTGTTGGTGCTGGACAATGGTGACATGGAGTTTTCCATCACATATATGTGAGTGTCTGTGGCTCCCATGGTTGGTTGGTCTCTTCCCTAACCCATCACTTCTCAATGGGTAGTTTAAAAAAATCCCCCTGACTTGGAAAGAAGAGTTCCAGGGGCCGGATGAGGAGGAGTGTGGACCCCAGTCAGTATGAGGGTCATTTTGTTTGTTTGTTTGGTTGGTTAGTTTTTGTTTGTTTTATTTTGAGACAGGCCTTCTTTGTGTAGCCCTGGCTGTCCTGGAACTCACTTTGTAGATTGAGCTGGCCTGGAACTCACTGAGATCTGCCTGCCTCTCCCTCCTAAGGGCACGTGCCACCACCCGGACGAGGGTCAGTTTTAAGAGGGCCACTGCAATATACTTTTTGATTCCAGACTCTTTGGCCAGTGTATGGAAGTGACAACCATCTTGGAGAAAACAGATGTGCCTGGCAATTACAGTGCCTGTGAGTGCCATGAGCCCAGGGATGGGTGGCTGTCAGCCCATGGAAGGGATGGATTCCTGGCAAGGAGGAATCACAGATGAGTCCTGGGAACCCCAGTCCTTCCCACGCGGGCCAGGATAGTCGCTTAGATGAGTGGAGGCTGGGGCGGCAGGCAGAAGAGGAACCTAGGTGATTGTCTGCAGGGTGGAACTAACCTTGCTCTTTCCGGGGCCTCCACAGTTGAGGGTAAGAGTCACATGCAGGTGCAGCTGTCTTCTGTGAAGGACCACTGGATACTCTACTGTGAAGGGGAGATGGACGGCGTGAGCGTCACAATGACCCAGCTCATAGGTAAGTTTCCACCTACCCAAGCCTAGCACACCCATGCCTAGCACCACTGTTCCTCTTCAGGGCAGTAGATTCCCTGGGAGCAGGCCCCACATTTGAAAGGAGCAGTATTCCCTCTCATGGGCAGGCTCGCACAGTGCTGCCGGCTGGCTGGGCCCACCTTGCTGAACTTCCTTCCACTGTAGTGACCGATAGGACCATCCAGGACAGAGGTGGATATGCTTCTTGGCCACAGAAGCTGTGGATGCTGCTTTGTTGGAGCCTCAGGGTGTCAGGCATGGTTTATGTGAGGACAGTAGTGTCCTGACCACTTCTCAGCTCAGTACCTCTAGGACATGGGGAACTTTTAGGTCCTCAAGATGCTACAGGCCCCCATTGGAAGACTTTTGGTTTCCAAGGTTATTTGGTGGCTCAGATGATCCCCAAGCTCAGTGTCAACACTCCATACCTCCTCTTCTGTACCCTTGGCTATTCTATGACAAAGACTGTAGTGCCGGGCAGTGCTCCTGTCTGTGACACTGGCTTCTTGAAAACCTGTGTGGACACCTCCCTTTGCTCACCCATCCCTCTTCCACAGGGAGGGACTTCAAGGAAAACCTAGAGGCCTTGGAAGAATTTAAGGAGTTCACACAGAAAAAGGGACTTGTACCAGAGAACCTGGTCATACCGGAGCAGTTGGGTGAGCACGCATGCAACCCATGTTCCCCTCTCTGTCCCCTGTGTCCCCTGTAACTCTGTCACTTTCATGCACCCTGTCCCCAACGTGGACACTTCAGACCCTGCTGCAGGTCTTGGTTACGGGAGGACATGAGCCATAGATATGATGGGCTCTTGTCCAAGCCTCGTTCTCATCTCTGGGTTTTCTGCTTTCTACAGAAAAATGTGAACCGGAGAGTTAAGAGGGTAAGTGACCTTTGAAGCCAACTAGAGCCTTGGGATTCAACAGGGCCTCGAGATCCACCCAGAAGGCCTCAATTGCAGCGAGGAATGACCCGATCTCTGTGTCCCAACACCCTGTGTTTCTTTAGCTTTGTTCCCGGGTCATTCAAGCCTTCCTTTTTGTCCTCATCCCATCAGTGACACATGCTGGTGGTGTGACTTGTTATAGGCAGGTGAAGCTGCCTAGGGCCACCATCCAGTAAGTGATGGATGTCCTTCTTAGCCTCTTTCAAGTCTTTTGGAGACGTCCTACCTGCCGGTGTACACGCCCCCTCCCCTGTGTCCATGAGCCTGCATGGACATCAGGGCACTTTGATAGTGGAGCAGAAAGTCCTAGGCCCTGCATAAGGAAGGCCAGGGACAAGTGGAGTCATGATGTCCATGTCCTTTACGGCCCCCCACTTGTCAGTCACGCCCTCACCTGGGGACCACAGCGTTGACAGAACTTCTCTGAGGGAAGTTGGAAGAAAGGAATTCCTTGTTCAGCCCTGCATCTCGGAGAGCCTGGGATGCTGCCCGAAGCACCCATCTTTCCTCCCCCACCATAACCCTTCATGGACTCTACCTCCTTGCCTCATAGACGCTCTCTCCATTCTAGAGCATTGTGGACCAAGACTCCAAGGCCGCCCAAGGCAGAACGGCCAGAATCTCTGTCCTGCGGGACATGGAAAGAGTGTCCTGCTGGGCCATCTGATTTCTCTTCTCTCTTCCCCGTTCCTCCCTCCTCCTCCTCCCCTGCTCCTCAATAAAGAGCTTCAGCAGTCCCTGGTGACTCTGCCTGTGTCTGTGGCCCCTTGGATGGACGGATGTGTTCTCCCTTGGTGGTCTGTTGAAAGGGGAATGGGTGAGAAGCGTCTAGGAGAGAAGGGAGCACCCAGCCTTGTTTGGTGTAGGCCTGGAGGCTGGAGACTGTGACAGGGGCCCTCTGGGATCCTTCTGAAGGTTCCGGGCAGTGAGTGTGATGAGTAAGAGGTCCATGACATTGACAGGATGGGGCTCCCCGCCGAAGGTGAGGACCAAAAGAGTCTTTGTGCGGATGGGGACCGCCAGGGGACTGAGATAGGAATGAGACCAGGGCACAGGCCGGGATCCAGGTTCCCAGGCCCAGCAGGACAGGCAGTAGGACACTGAGAACTTGTTTCAATGGGTAGAGACAGTGTAGCATCCTCTCTCTGCAGGCTGGACAAACATAGAAGCTGCATCCGGATGTCACGAGTGCTGTTTCTCAGATCATTCTGAGACTGCTCTGAGCATCATGAGGGGTCAGCTAAGGCCCCTCCCCCCTCCTCTCTCCTATGAGGGTATGTGGACCCAGCCATTTTTCTGTAACCTATTCACCCTCCTGCCCAAATCTCCCCAGTCCCAGGTACACTGTTCCTGATGGGGATGGCCAGCCTCCCAAGGCCACCACATGACACAGCAGGTCTCTAATACAAACCGCAAGGGTTCATACAGTCGTGTGGTCTCCCTGAGGAGGACATGCTCAAGTGTCCCCCATTGGCAGGGAGTCCCCACTGCAGTGTTGGACAATCAACCTGTTTTGTTTTGTTTTTTGGTTTTTCAAGACAGGGTTTCTCTGTGTAGCTTTTGCCTTTCCTGGAACTCGCTTTGGAGACCAGGCTGGCCTCAAACTCACATACAGAGGCACACACACACATATAGACATATAAACATGGGAACACAGACATATATGCATACAGACACATGTGAGCATGCTGATGCACAGATGTGAACATACAGATTACAGATACATAGACATACACACACACACACATATATATATATACATACATATATATATATATATATACATATATATATATATACACACACACTCACATGACCACACTTGTGGATAGATACGGAATGCTGTCTGGTAATCAAGGAGAGAGTCTAGAAGGGGCCTGAAAGCTGTGCCTGGAGTTGGAAGGTCTGAGGATGGGCTGGTCCAGGAAACTGTTTCTTGTGGGAACAAGGCCTGGGCCTGAAGTGGGCAGGAGCACAGCAGCTCTTGGCTCCAGGACCTGGGGCAGCACCTCCCACACTGATAGCATTCTACAGGTTATCTCTGTCTAACCACGAGGTCCAAGCAAAACAGTGTGGTCAGGTCTCCAGTGCAGAAGGCTAGAGCCTGTGTGTGGGGAGGCTGCCCCAAGGCCTCCCTCATGAGTTAAACAGACTCAGAAGGCCAGAGGAGGGCTGAGCAGCCATGAAGACCATGTGTGGGTTCCAGGGCTGAGTCTGCATCTCCACACAGCACATTCTAAGGAGGGTCAGCGGGACAAAGAGCAACAAATGGCCAGACCACCCAAGAAGAGGTGAGCATCGGACAATGGAGCTGTGCTGGGGTCAGACCCTGGTCTGAACTCAGGGCTCCCGATCAGAGCTGGGGGCAGAGGGCAGCCGGCTCCTCTCTTGTGTTTTACAGACTTCTGCCTGGTAGAGAAGGAGGTCTGCATGGTACCCGGGCAGTCACTTCCCATGGGACAGTATGGCACCTTCCTGCCCAGTGTGAGGGAGTCTTAGTAAGAGACAGTACAGAGTTCCATCAACATTGATGGGGTCCCCCAAACCCACATTCGTGGTAACATATGACAAGTTACATAATCTTCTAAAACCCTCAGAGATCACAGCCATTGTTTGGAAGAAATTTTGCTGTTTTAAGCTCCTCTATGAACAGTAATGGGCAAAACACCAAACTCTTGATGTCATTAGGGAAAATGCCGGTGTGACCACAGAGTCACAATAATCTCCATCCCACGTAGCTCAGTCATTTAGTGGGTGGATGAGTGGATGGGTGAAGGTGGATAAGGGCACAGGTGAAGGAGAGAGTGCAGGGTAGCTAGTAGTGAATGAATGGATGGAAGGGTGAGTGGATGTAAGGTAAGTGGATAGATAATTAGGGGGATGGATAAATGGATGGATAGGCAAATGGGCAGATGGGTGGACCCCATCTGATCAGACAAACGTGGACACTTAGACACATTACGCTTCAGGCCCATCACTGGGAACTCTGCGTGTTTTCTCCCTGCTCTCTGGGAGTTTTCTTCCCCCTTTTCCTGTCTCAGGCTCAGTGAATGTCCAGTGTTGATCAGGTTTCAGAACCTTTCTGGATTTCTCTCTCAGTGGACTCATTAGCCCTCTCCTTAGTGTGATATGGCCACGTCCACCCTTGGGGGGGGGAGCAATTTCACGGACGTTTCTCACCAGTGAGGACCTCCTGGGCTGATTGTGGGAGAAAGCGGCAAGGCTACGGGCATTTTGCTGCCTCTGTCTTTGGATTTAAAACAAAATCCTTTCAGAACCTGTTTTCCTCACAGCCCCTTTCTCACACACCATTCATAATCTCTCCCCATAATCATCCACGACCTCCAGTCTGTTCTCTTAGCTATGATCATCTCAGGTATTGGCCAGTTTTGTCACACTTCTATTCAGCTTTGTCCTCTTCCTTTGCTTCCCTTTCCCCTCCTTTCTCTCCTGTTTCTTCCTTCCTTTTCCCTCTCTGGAGTGCTAATTACAATCACTTCCTCCATAGGTTTTTGGGAAAGTATTGTATAATCACTGGCCCGGAGCTACCTCTTGCTTCAGTATGAATACTTCCCTCCCCTCCAGCTTTGTGATAAGCTATGAAGGGAAGCCATAGTTGCAAATACACACTCTGAGTGCCCTTGCCCCATGACCTGCCCCCTGACTCCCCGACTGGGAGGGACTCAGGTATTCCCCTGGGCCCCTTTCCAGAGATAGGCACAGCCCCTTGAGGCAGGTTCTGTGTCTTGAAGCTTCATGGACCTGATCACTTAGCAGACCCAACCAACAGAGGGTGGTGACCACGAGGGCAAGAGACGAGTCATCACTGTGCCCCTGAAGCTGAGGTGCGGGCACCAGGAAAACACTGGAGCCTCACTACGTCATCCTTATAAACTGGGCTGTGTAGCCGAAGGGGAGGCCCAGGGTTCTCAAGTGAGCCAGACGTGGGATCAGCCAACAGGAGCAGAATCTGGGCCACTTGTTCTAAACCGGGGTGTCCCCCACGGCCTCCTCCAGCTGGCTCAGCTGCAGCCCCCTACAATGGGCTCTGAAGTGGCAAGAAACGGAGTGGGGACCAGGATGTGTGGCCACCAATACCCTGGTGAGAGATCCTGGCCCCAGAAAGCTTGTTAGCAAAAGACTCCCAGACAATGTCTTTGGAGGCCGCCTGGTGATATCTTGAAAGGGGACAGGCAGCTGCAATGTTAGACTCTGGCTGCTGCAAGGTATTATGGTCTGAGCTGCAGCTAGAGTCTAACATGACAGCCTCGAAGTAGTTAGTCCCTCATGTCCCCAGGTGGCCATTTGGCAGATAGAGGCTGAGTCCTCCTCCACGAGAAGCTGGTTCAGGCTCCCCAGTCCTTAGCCTGTCTTGCACTTCTCTGTGTGACTCACAGCCAGGAGAACCATGGGAAAAGACGCAACAGCAGGACTGATCCAGACCCTGAAGGCCACAGGCAGGAACACACACACCTTCCCAAGGGAACCTTTCCAAGGTCTAAAACACTGTTCAAGGGCACCTAGAAAGTGGATGTTCAGATGGAAGCTCCACCTCAGTTCCTCCTTCCTCCCCTCTCCAAACTGTCTCATCTCAGAAAACCTACAAAATGGCGGCTCCCCCCCAAGATGCTCAAGACCACACCTGCAGGGTATTTAAACTGCCCCCCCCCCAAGAAAGGCCATGTGGTTTTTCAGTCTCTTCTCCCTGTCTCCTCTCTGGGGGCCAAAAAATCATCCAGGAGTAGTTTACTCACTAAACCTGGACTTTTTCTTAGTTCAGTTTGATTTGGATTACTGCATTGGTGGAGAGGCTTAATATCTGGATATGGAAACTTTTCAGTAATCCCCGTGAGCTCCAGGAACTAAGCCAGATGCCTCCCAGTTTGTCTTGGCCACCACTGAGCCTGAAGTTCCTGACTGGGTCCACTAAGCCTCCCAGTAAAGCACAGTGAATGTCATTTAAAAAAAAAAAAAAAAGCCAGCTCATAGTTCAGAGACGAAGAACCAGCCACAATAGGTTTCCTCAAAGCTCTGAGGCTGCCTGTCCACCATACCTGCCTTATAGGACAAGTGTCCAGTTCTGGAACCCTCAGACACAGGAAGTTTCTGAGCTACAAGAATGGGAATTCCATCAGGGCCTCAGGGCCCACCCTGGCCATGGGGGGGTCGCTCTGTTCCTGGAAGGCAGGCAGTGGCAGAGGTTTCTGGTGGTACTCTGGGGGCTAGGCCCAAGGTAAGGGTATCCCATGAGTTGGTCTTCCAGTCTTCTCGATGGTGGGATGTGACTGTGACGTCATGCTCAGACACATGAGAGGAAGGCACATAATAGCCTGTGACCGGGAGATGGACCTGGACATCCTCCGGTAGCCACAGGAGAGAAATGGCTCAGGGTGTAATTTGAGCAGGCCCAGAGCTTCTCACTGCTGTGGACAAATGGACACAAGGACCTGACGCAGCCTGCCTCTGTGATCTTACAGAGTGACATGCACCTTCTCCGAGCTTCACTGCATACCCTGGGGACACACCTGGCAGTGCTTTCAGGGCTGGATGCTTGCCTGTGCTGGCCCATTCCCTAGGGTTCTTCTGACCCCTTTGCCTCACTCACCTCACTCAGAAGCAGGAGCCCCAGATCCTGTCAAATGAGGCTGTGTGGGAACCCCCAAGAAGAGCTGTATGTTTCTATCGGCGCCATGAACCTCACCAGCTGCCATCTCACGGGTGCCTGACCTGT